CACGTGTGGGCACCCTCGGCCGGCGGAGGGGGGCCCCGGGCAGCCCCACCTTGGGTCGCCCGGGTCGGATGACCACGGAGAGGGGATTTATTTACAGGCCCATAGCCCAGTTTCTAAAGTTTGTCCTCGGCGAGCGGCTGCTTTCATGTGCCCTTTCCAAAGGAACCTCCCCCTTCACTTGAAATTCGTTTAACGTGCCTGGTAAAGGCAAAACACAGAAAAAATTACTCGGGAAAACTCTCACAAACTGTATCAAAGCAAGGAGCCCCCCTCGGTGCAGAGCTCGCTGGCACACCGTAGTAATGCCATGTCATCTCTCCATTTTTTCCTGTAGCGAGTCAGACGGCAACCCTAGCACAGAAGATGAATCCAGTAAGGGACAGGAGGATTTATCTCCCCATCCACTCTCCAGCTCGTCCGATGGCGTTACCAGCCTCAGCCTTCCTGGCCACATGGAGCCTGTCTACATGCAGCAGCTCGGAAACACTAAAATAGCCTTGAGCTCATCTGGCGTCTTGTTGAATGGAAACCTCGTGCCTGCCAGTACCTCTCCTGTCTTTCTCAATGGTAGTTCTTTTCTTCAGGGACCCAACGGTGTCATTCTCAATGGACTCAGCGTGGGGGCTTCGCAGACGGTTACCTTAAATTCGCCCAAAACCACGTCGAGTGTTGTGAGCAACGGGGTATCCATTACTGACATACTGTCATCTTCATCAGAAGATGTTAAGGACTTCAAACTTCTTCAGGCTTCAGTCCCCAACGCTGCAGCAGCCACCTTCAGCCCAAGCAACATCCCGGTCTCATTCCCGGGATTGATACCAAGCTCAGAGGTGAAAAGGGAAAGCGTACAAACTGCTGCTTCCCAAGATGGAGGCTCTGTGGTTACTTTTACTGCTCCTGTCCAAATAAACCAGTATGGTATTGTCCAGATCCCCAATTCAGGAACAAATGGCCAGCTGCTGAACGGAAGCATCGGTTTTTCTTCTCTGCAGCTCCCTCCGGTTTCTGTGGCAGCTTCACAAGGTAAAAGTTTTGTGTGTTACAGTAAGAGGTACGAGGAAAAGTTGGGATCAGGCATACTTCACATTTTAGAAGCCGTGGTATTTTTCCTCTGAGGTAACAGCGTTGTATCTCAGCCACATGCTGTACATCAAATAATACCTTTTGCCTGCCTTTATAATGGGTTATGCTCGTGGGTAGACTGTTACATGAGGTTGAGCTCCTCTGCTAAGGGCAGAGAAGGGGGTCTGGTATTTTACACCCCTTTCATCTCATGCTGTTCTCAGAAGTCTGTGAGACTAGTCTTCACAAATATCTGTAAATTTTACACGTTTCAGTAATTCAAAATATTCACCATTTGCCATTGAATCCTTTTAAAGAGAAGGTTCATAAAAATGAAAATTGTGGCAGCTGGAAATTGTTACTGATGTTGTTCTTGTGGTGGTTGTTTTGGGTTTTTTGGGGTTGGTTTTTTTTAACTAAAGCCTTTCATAAAAATAAATTTTAAGTGACTATAGACACAACAAGACCAAGCAGTTACACTCGTACATTTTCTGTCCTGTAATTAAGAAAGATTAAACTGCAGGGAAACAATAGAAATATGCAATAGCTCATAGATATAAAAGGCAAGGGTGTTTGGATAAAACTGCCCTCAGTCCAAGGGAAATATGTCATCGCAGGTTCACGTGCCAAGCGCGCAGGCTCCTCCCCAAGTTTGCTTTAGAGTTTGTCTTAACATACCATAGACCGAAACTTGTGGGCAGCCAGGAGGAATCCCAGGGAGCACAAGCCTAGTTCTGGATCCTTGTTTTGAAGCAGGTCTGCAATAAAGCATAACTGAACACCTTTGTTACTCATTAGCCACTGTATCTTTGGTTATGAAAATGATTAAACTTCAATGAATCTCTCGAGTCTCAGGAATCTTGAGTACTATAATGAAAATCAAACTGTGCTCGTGTTATATTATTTGAATTAAATGTGTATAGGGAGTGAATTATTCTTGCTGTTAAAGTAATAGGTGGAGGAACACTGAAGCTGTACAAACACATTTGAAATGGGTGCAAAATTATATGCCTAAAATGTGGCACGTGCAGTCACATTTTATTTTATTATATTTACATAACGATAGCAGGAAGCTATCGGTATGTAGTTTGAGCAAGATTAAAAAGCAAAGTCATTTGACTGAATACCACCTGTAATTACAAAAGCCCTTTAGTCCACATGTTCCAAGGCATAAACTGACAGCTAGTAAAGGTGAGAAAGAAAGTTCTGTTCCTTCAGTAGTGTGGGACTACTGTATTTGAAAGTCTTAAGATGCATAGTAAGCTAGTCTCTGAACATTTTCCCCATTGGTAAAAACAGCAGTTTCCACTGGAGAGTGATCCACAATGTAGCTAGTCTGGTGCAGAGAAAAGTCAAGATCCGTGTTTGCTGTTTCGGTTTCTTTTTCTGTTTGTTTTTCTTAACACCAGACGAATGGATAGCTGGCTGCCTATTCCAAGTGAAGTGTGCTGCAGGCTATTTTAAGTAAGCTACAGTAAATGATACCTTATTGCCAGGTAACTTCAAGTTGCCTCGCTTTATTCTTCTGTTTTATACATATGAGTAACTTCTTACATTAATCAGTGATGATTTTTTGGAAACGAATAGAGAGCTAAAGTATTCCCTAGGTGAGAAATGCATCTTCAGTTCTGTTCTAAAAAATTCAGGTGTCTCCAACTGTAGCCTCTTAAGATTATAATTAAACTGCTTTTGAGAAAGAGAGGTGTTTGAAGTGGGATGCAGTCCTGAGAGCCAGTGTATCTTATTTTAGGAATGATTATGACAATTTACATGGCATGCCCAGTAAACCAACTTCAGGCTGTCTCCGGCCACCACTCCTTGCTCTGGCTAGCTACAACATCACCAAGCGGTGCCATGGCTTTCAGTGAGGGTCGACAGTTGCTGGGTGGCTTTACACAGCGTGGTAGATGTGGTAGGGATAGGCTTTTAGAAATACGTGATAAAGCGAGGTGAAAGGCAATACATCGGAATGCTTGATGGACTATCTAGTTGACCTGATAGAAGTAACTGGTTTTTGACATTTTCTCTGCGGGGGCTGACTCAGGTAGGTTCTGCCCAGCAGTAGTGGATTTCATGTGACGTGTCTCCAGTTTCCCACACATAAGCTGTAGTCTGTCACTGAACTATCTTTAATAGCTTTTCATGCTTCTATTCTTAGAAACTGAGTGGTGGCAGCTAGTGAAGGCCAAAGCATGTTCATTTTAATCACATGGCCAGGGACTGTTTGCCCCTTAATGAGAGTCTGAAAGATACCTAATATACCAGAACCTACCTTTATTTTTTTATTTCTAGAAGCAGTTTCTATTAATGGCTTTTATTTCTTCATACCAAATTTTCTCTCACCTGTTAAAAACAACACTGCTCTGTGTTCCATGAAATATTAGCATATATGTGTACTGCAAACATAAAAAAGACCAAAACGTCTTAACAAAAGGCCTGCACAATTCTCTGCCAACTGTAATCAGTGTTTTCCTTTCTTTTGCTTCCTTTTTTCCAGGTAATGTTTCAGTAAATCCCAGCACATCCGACGGGGGAACTTTTACAACTGAGTCTTCAACAGTGCAGCAAGGAAAGGTTTTCTTCAGCCCTCTCGCTCCGAGTGCAGTCGTTTATACAGTTCCCAATTCAGGCCAGGCAGTAGGCTCTGTCAAGCAAGAAGGACTGGAAAGAAGCCTTGTGTTTTCTCAGTTGATGCCAGTCAGTCAGAACACGCAACTAAATGTAAACATGTCTTCTGAAAATATATCCAGCGGAGGACTCCAGTCCCTGACCTCCTCGTTAGTGAATGTAACGCCCTCACATAATTTTTCCCTCACACCACCAACTCTCTTAAATGCTGCAGAACTGAACTCTAGTATCTCGGAGAGCCAGTCCATGTCGTCGCCCGTGACCAGTACCTCTACCGTGATATCTATCAGCAACACTAACTATGCAACCCTTCAGAACTGTTCCCTCATTACCAGTCAAGATCTGTTGTCCATTTCTACAGCACAGCCTGCGCTTGGAGAAATCGTTTCTACAAGCGGAGACCGTGTCAGCCACCCCTCTGCACAAGTACATCAAGATTTTGTCAGAGAGCACAGGTTAGTTCTGCAAGCCGTACCCGACGTCAAAGAGAATTTCTTACCCAATTCTGAGAGTAAGTCAACTGGCAATTTAATGATGCTGGATTCAAAATCCAAGTATGTTATGAGTAACATGGTTGACACGGTTTGTGAAGAACTGGAAACGGACAAAAAAGAACTTGCCAAACTGCAAACAGTTCAGATGGATGAAGATATGCAAGACTTGTAGCTTTTTTTTTTTTTTGCTTTCTGTTTTAATAGATTAAGTCTCCTGTTGAGGCCCTAACAAGCACCAAGTGGGGGGGGGGGGGGGGTTTGTTTTGGGTTTTTTTTTTTTTTTTTTTTTTTTCATGTAAAGAAAACAGAAGAACATTTAAATGGTCTGAATCGATGTGCAGAGGAATCTCCGGCAATGGAATTAGGTTGCCACACTTGGTTTGCGTGCAGTATTCTCTTTTAAGCAGATTAAAGGAGAAAGGAAACGCCAGGGCAAGTACCAAGCAAATGGGTACAGGTTTGGCTAAGAGATACTACCCTGATAATTTAACTAGACTCTCCATAGTACAACACAGCTCTCAACAGTAAGTATACACTCCTAACTTTAGATAGAAAACAAAATTCTTACTCTGAAAAGGTAGAAACAATGCAGTCATTTTTGCTGTTTACTTCTAGTCCATGGGCATTGAGAAATTTTTAAGGAACTCTAGACGATACCTCACCGGCTACTTTCATGTTGTTTGAGGTTAAGAAACAAAACAAAATCATAAATAATACTGTTACTGGTGTGTTTGCTTTTTTCCAGCAGACTTTGTTCAAACCAAAAATCTCACATCAAACATTTACAGGTTTCTAAATGCTACAGCTAGCATTTTGCCAGTGCACCAGAAAAAGCATCATTTGAAACTCTAATTATGCAACTCAGAAGCTTTCTCTCCAGTTTAAATGTAAATATTGTTTCAGTTCTTACAAAGGAGACTTTTTTAAAATTAGTACAATGGATTTTATTTATGTTTTATGTTCCCTTTCACTTTAGACACAATGCATTGAAAAGGAAAACGTTTTCTGGCTGTTTAATTTATTTTTATTGTTTGAGCAGGAAGTAAGCGTAGTTATTTCTGACAAGGTTTTACTTTTTTGTAGTTTTTCAAGCAATAGACTGTAAAAGTAAAATGTTAATCACACTGAAACTAGAAAATGAACTCCCAGTCTCACAAACCCAGGAGGTCCCTGTCTCTACCCCCTCTGTCTTTGTGTTCAGGGGTTTCTTGTTTGTTTTGTTAGTAATTTGAAAATTAGTTGAACCTTTTTGTGTATTTTTTACAGAATTCCATGTGCCTTTCTTCCTAGTGGCCTTATCTTTGTTACTGAAGCACAGTGGCAGGAGGAATAAAAACACTGATTTGCGAATATCCGTCCTCAGGGCCAAATCCTGATGCCTTACTTCTGCAAGTAGACCTGCTGACTTCAGTGCCCCTACTTGCACGAGTAAGAAGAGTTTTAAGTCCTTTTGGTCGTCGTGGGTGACATTTACTAGCGGTGCAGAGAGCCAAAGATAGGTCCTTCCGCACCACATCAGCAGGGCCGGAGGAGTCCAGAGAGGGACCATGGGCAGAGCCATCGTGCCGAGGGAAAGGTCTTGGCTCCGGCCTCGGGCAGGTGAGCAGGGCAGGTTGGTTGGGCAGGCCAGGGAAGGGAACCCCATGTTTACACGGACCCATTGGCCAAGTAGCCCGTGTGGGAGGGCTTCAGCTGCTGCTCAAGCGAGCGCTCCCCCATCTTAAGTGATAACATCACTTAAGCATGTATCTATATATTCTTGAGAATAAGCAGCGTGGGGGCTGACGGTGGGAACTGCAGCTGCCCCGAGGGCTCATGGAAGCAGCCGTGGTCTCTGCCTGGCTGGGGATGGGTCGGTCTCTCCCTTCGCCTCTTTGTGCCGCAGCAGGGACAGCAGAAGCAGGCAGGCTCTGGGCAGGTGGAACAGATCTTACCTTCCCTCCAGAGGAGTTTCTGTAGCATGGAAAAGCACATCCTTAAGCTTTAAGATAATAATAAGAATGCAGATGTATAAAAATTACATGCTGTTAATCTTTGTGGTTTTGTTATTTTTTTATTCTAATGTGAATATATACAGTAACTAAAGCACGTATTCGTCCTCATCAGGGGCCTGGTCCGAAGCCTTTAGAAGGCAATGCGAAATGTTTTCATAAGCTTCTGTGGGCTCTGAATCAGGCTCAGGACAAAACAAGATCACCTGTAAAGGACAAAAAAAATTGAAAGGAGAGAGAATAGAGGTAGCGCAGCCCAGTCTGTTTCTGTCTTTGTTCACTGGTTCTGTGGAAAGCCTTTGAGGAATGAAGGTTTTTTCTGTGCGCCATGAGCATGGCATAGGCATCCTCACTATTGTTTTGCACTATATTGAATACAGTGTGTTTTGCAAGGTATTCCATGGAACCTTGAAGCTGAGTTCTGTAAGCACTGGAGTCCACACTGCGAGCCAGAGACTCCTAGGGCTGCAAGGAAAGGGAAGAGCAAGCGTGCAAGGCGTGCACTTTGCAGCTGTACCAAGTCGCTGATGCTCTGCAGACAGAAGCATCCTGTAAGCAGTTGGCTGTCCCCGCGTGCTCCCAAGTAAAAGAGGTGTCTAGTGCGAGCGCTTTAAAGTGGAGATTATCGCAAGCAGAACATGGAGCTATATGTTGCCCTGGCACAACTTCCCTTGACATTCAGGGGATCTCTGCTTGAGCAGGGAATCGGATAGCCCAGAGTTCTCTCTGCCTAGCTTGTTTATCTGTTTGCTGGGCTCCAGCATGAGCAGTCTGCTTCCCACCTCTTCTTCACCCATAAAACCAAGATGATGATGACAACAACAGTAGCTGTATCTGCTTTGCATGAATTTGTTAAACCGTTTGGAAAATTAGAAGGACCCTCTATCATTGTCATGTTAATGGAGAACGTGCGTGTGGCTCTTCAGGAGTTGTTTGGGGCTTAACATTTTGGCTGTGAAGCTCAGACTATATTTGGAGGCAAGATAGAGTGTGTTTTAGAGCACTCTCAGTTGTTGACGTGATCAGGTCTCGTACCTGAAAAGACTGTGGTGTTACACCAATACCTGTTACTACTTCTTCAATTTTTCCTCCTTTGTGTTCATGGTGTTACTGAGGCTCCGAATTCCATGGCTCTGGAGCACAGTTGACGTGAAAACTGTGTATGTTGTTACAGTGGCACGTATCTTGGAGTGTCTGGTACTTCTAATAGGAGACTTCCCACTCTTCAGTGGGAGTGGAGGATGTACATAAAAGCAGTGGTTTGGGACAAAGTAAGATTAATCTATTCTAGTCTTCCAGATATCAAGTAACTTATTACTATGTTTTACTCTTTCTTTCTCCCATTGAAAATAAGTGTCATTCCCTCCAGATAATGTAGTTATAACCTCATGTTTTCTGCAGGTACATATGCACAATATAAAGACTCATTGCACGGTACAGTGTTTTTAAAATAGATATTTAACTAGTAGTTTTAGTCCTACTGTAAAATAAGGGTCAGTTTTGGTTATGTGGCCCTTGAGCAAGCAGGCTAACTGCTCTAAATGGACAGCACACAAAGTCCCGAAAAGTATCTGGGGCTGGATCTTTGGCTGCTGTAAATAAGGCATTGCTCCACTGATTCCCAAACTGCAGATTTTACATGGTGTTTAGGGGATATGGGTGCTCATGTCTCACACACATGAATGGCAGTGCGTGTCTAAGCCCCACAGACAGTCCTTATTATCACATTCTGCTGTTTAAATGGAAGGTATGTCTATCTGGCATGCACGTTCCTTCTCCTCCCTCCCTCTCTGTTACGGATGAGAATAAAGGGTCGTTTCAACTTCACATATGTTTGTAACTTGTAAGTCCACTGGAAATCTTACAGGAGACATTGCCAAATTCTACTACTTTTCTGGTCCCAGACTCAGCTTCGAAAAATACGCTTAAAGTTTAAGCAAATTCCTACAAAGCATGATGTTAAAAAACCCTTTGTTCTTTACTACTTTTAAGTAAAGCTGCCTCTGTTTTGCCCAGAGTTTTGCAGAGAACCAGAAATATATTAAATTGAATGCTCTGTCTGGACTATTTGCAGCATTATTCCTGTGGTCTTACCTAAAAGAACATTTCAGCCACATAAATCACAGACATCTATCGGCCAGGTCCTCAGCTGGGTTAAACTAGTACAGTTCTACTGACTTTAATGTCCTTTCGCACCAGCCGAGAATATGGTCCATTCATTTCACCGGAGTTGGATCAAGGACGGATTTGGCCCAGTATACGGTGGCAGTGTGAACCAATGCATGAGGCTGACGCTTCAGACGGTTGCAACCAAACGGTCACAGTTTATCGAAGCATATACCTCTTTCCATTTACTGCTTTACCCTGCCTGTGGATTCAGGAAGACGCAGTCAGAAAGCTACTTAACCCAGAAGTAAGGCTGGAACCATCTTTATTGTTATTACTATCAATCTGAGGTTAATGACAGTAATGGACAGATTCTGACTTCAAATCCTGCAAAATCACCTCAACGGTTTTCAGTTAAACTAAGCAGGACAGAATTTGGCCCCGTGTGCGCAGGAGCTTTTCCTGCGTATGAGGATTTCCAGCGCCTGTGCACTTTTTTAGCAGGGGTGGATGAACAACCAAGAGGGTGTATCCCTTCAGTTTTGTATGAAATATGTGTGCAGAACTCCCGGGGGCGTGAATTGCCTAGTGCTTGTGGTCGAGAAGCATCTCAAATCGTAAAAAGAGTAGTAATTTTATAACTCCGGAAACAAAAATAATGACATTTTACAAGAAAGGAGACCTGAAGTCTTCCTGTATCTCCTAGCAGTTATTATCTTGAAGGATATTTTATACCTTACTTGTATGTTTCATATAATTTAAAACTAGCTTCTTAAATTTCTGAACTCAAGGAGGGGGTGAATCTTCTGACTTTCAGGATTCACGTTCAGAGGATGTTTGTTCTTTTGCTGCATGTACTGTTTGTCCAGAACTAACCAGTTATTTCTGCGATATGGGTTTATTGTGCCTTACAACAAATATGAAACTTAAGCAGAATGTATGCATTAGAGGAGGGAATAATTAGAAGACTTTACTGCACTGTTAGATGATGCCGCCCCAGAGTGTGTCATCAAACATATCTGTGCTTAATTACCCAACCAAAGAGATCTAAAGTATGTATGTTTGTTGTACTGTA